TTTGTTTTAGTAGAGGTTTTACGGCGCTCGAACTGCATACGTTATATGAGCGCCAGAAGATTAGAGGTGTTACAAAAGAGTAACAAACAGAAAAAAGAAGAACGGGGGATACGGACGATACATGTTTGATCGGAAAGAAGAAGCAGCAATTTAAATCTTTAATCCTTCAAATCTAGACAACTGGCTCTGACATTCAAGGAAAGAAGTGTAAAGTATTCTGAGATGTCTTACCTTTAGTGCGTACTCCTTCCCAGAGCTCACATCCTGGGCCACAAACACAAAGGCAAAACCACCTGGCAGAGGAAAAAAAACAACAAAGGGATAAGATAAGACAAGACATGATAAGATAACAATAACAAGCAATATATATATATATCGATCTCCACAAAGAGATATTTAGATCATTTAGAGTGCGGGCCAACATCCCAGCAGAAAAGAAAGACAGAGGTACTCTATGAAAACTTCTCCCCATCAGTATTAGGAATCAAACTCGGGTCTCTAGTGTGCTAAAGCAAAACTCCTAGCCTCTACACCAGAGGCGTCGGTAGACAATCTGACATTGCTAGGTGGATGGTTGGCGGGTGCTTTGGTGTGGTTTGCTTCTTGTTTCCTATAAAATATCTATCGTCATTATCTCCCCCTCCTTCCTTTTTATGTTTGTTACTCTCTTGTAACATCTCTTATCTTCAGGCGCTCATATGACCGTATGCAGTTGCGAGCGCTGTAAAACCTCTACTAAAACAAAAGACATTACTACAATTTGTAAATGCGACCAACAGGCCCACAATCTACATTCAATCATTCTATTCTATTCTATTATTGCTGCGTAACAATACGACTCCCCACCAAAATATTTTGGATGTGGCTCCCCAAGGCCACTGTGTAGTCTGGCAGCACATGTAGTATGTAGTGGAGAGAATCCGTGGAAAAGACAACTTTTATTTGGTTGTCTGGTGTAGTTAAGCGAAGCACATTAGCAAATAATAATGGCCATTCAGAGCAGTAAAATGCTTGATGCAGCAAGAGACAGACAGACAGAGAGGTGGGAGGGAGGCACAGAGAGAGAGGGAGGGGGGCAGACAGACAGAGATACAGAGAATAGAGAAGACCTACCGTGGCACCCTCCAACCACCCACTCCGAGGAAACCACAACAATAATTTTAAAAAAGAAACCTCGAGACGACAACTCCCACAAATCCACGACTATATTATCATTATGATCTCAGCACTTCCTAAGCCGGCAAGGTCAAGGAGCAAAGGTCACTGACTGATAAAACTCTCCGGCTCGCGAGATGTCCGCTAGCCTAACAACAACACTTCTCACGTATCCATGCTTCAAACCTTCCGAACAACTTTCCCTTACCAACACCACAAGGCCAACTAACTTTCCCTTTCCAAAACCACAGGGCCAAGTGTGGGGTTTTAGTTAGTTTTAGTAAGTGTTTTACGGCACTTGCAACACAATAATAAGGTCATATAATAAGTGCCGAAGATTAGAGGTGTTACAAGATAGAGTAACAAACACAAAAAAGAAGGAAGGGAGATAGAGACGATATTATTTTTTTATAGGAAAGAAGGAGCAAACCACACCAGAGCACCCGCCAACCATCCACGGATTTTGTTTTAGTACGACGAATGTTACGGCACTTGCAACACAAACAGGTCATTAATAAGTGAATATTAGAGGTGTACTTAAGAGTAAGAAGGAGGAGCGATAACGACAACAGAATGTTGGATAGGAAAGAAGGAGTAAACTACACCAGAGCGCCCGCCAACCACCCACACTCATGGAGACAAATTAATCACTGACAAAATAAATTCCTACGCACACACACATACACACACCACGGAGAGAGAGAGGGAGAGAGAGAGAGAGAGAGAGAGAGAGAGAGAGAGAAAGAGAGAGAGACAGATAGAGACAGACAGAGAGAGAGAGAGAGAGAGAGAGAGGGGACCATCTCATCATGACCGCCATTTTTTTTATTGTTGTTACCATCGATTTCTTCACAATAAATTCAGACCTTACCATCATCACCACCATAATATCGCCATCACCATGCCATATCATCATAATCATCACCACCGCCGCCACCACCGCCGCCACCAGCGCCACTACCACCAATTGCATCAACACCAGCACCGGTGCCACCGTCAGCATCATACTCCAATAACTGCCACCAATTTAACACAGTCAATGACCTGATAAAGTTTTGTTGTTGTTGTTGTTGATGTTGTTGTTGTTATTGTTGTTAAGTAATATTTTTGTAGTTGCTGCTGTTGTTGTTTGTTTTTTCCTCGCCAAAGTTCATAATGGAGATATAATCATTTCGCTCCCAAGTCACGTTTTCTCAAATGCAGGGAGACCCAGTGAGCCAAACCGTCCTGTAATGTAGCTCTTATGTCCGCAATTTAGATATTATCCTATCTGCAGTGGAACGGAGTTCGGCATTTACAATGATTACAGTGCAAAAGGCATACTGGTTGGGTTTTTTTTAAGGGG